CAATTTCATGAACAACTACAAAAAAAGTGTTTGCAAAAAAGAAGAAGAAATGAGAGTTGAAAAATACATTGAGAGCATTGAAAAGAGAATTTAGAGTGAAAATGAGTACATTGAAAAAGAAATTCAAAAAGAAGATGAGAGTGAAAAGGATGAGTTTGAAAAAGAAATTGTTTGTGCAAAAGAGAGAGAGAGAGTCAAATTTCATTTTGCACTAACAACCTTAACCATTCTTCTTCTATTCTTAAATTTTCATTGTTGCAGGATGACAAGAAGAGCACTTCAAGAGACATGTCAAACACATTGCCAATTCTAATGATGATCGAACATCGTCCTTGCTTTAATCATGTTTCAAAGGAGGATCCAATGAAGTTTTCTATCACCAAAGAACCGATGCCCAATAATATCATCAAGCTTCCTCCATGGTTTGATTTTTCCATTTCTTTTGTTATTGAATTATTTACTTCTAACTTTCATTTACTTTTAAGAGGGATGATTCAAAAACAAGGAATTGATGTATTGAGTTGCGAGGATAAGTTTCTTTGCAATCTTGAGATGCCACTCTCCATTTTGCAAATAGATGATTTGAAGAAAAAGCTATCCACCTACTCAAGAGCCATCATATGAAAGGGCACAAAGATTAAAGGAGATGGTGTAACCTACCTACTTGAAGGAGTTCAAAGGTCAAAACTTTCCACTCACCCTCATGATGATTCAAAGGAACAAAAAGAAGGAATGCAAAGAACATACATCTATTCGGATGAACAACATGGAAATGAAGTGCACAAGCAAGCAAAACTTAATTCCAAAGAATGGTGTTTGTGCAAAACAAGAATGAATAAGTTTGACCATCCGTTTGAGGGTGGCAAGTGGTGGAGAATAGTAGCTTAGTACCAATCTTACTCCATAGGGCTCTCCAAAAGTGGCTTAAGAACTTCACATCCCGATCAGACACAATAGTTCTTGGTATACCATGTAGCCTTAAAATTTCCCTGAAAAACAAAGTAGCAATATGTGAGGCATCATTAGTTTTGTCACAGGGAATGAAATGAGCCATTTTGAAAAATCTATAAACAACTACAAAGATGGAGTCTTTGTTTTTCTTTGTGCGTGGAAGCCCTAGCACAAAATCCATTGAAATATCCATCCATGGTGCTTTCGGTATGGGTAGTGGTGTCTAATTAAGCATCATTAATTTATTAAAGTTTATTGCTGACAAGAGGTTGGCAGTGGCACCATCTTGTATATATGAAATTTAACTAATTTCGATTTCTGCAAACGAGGAATTGCTGTTCTGATAGCGATGGGACAAGATGTGGATCAAACATGGCCAAAAAGGTTAATTAATAGATAAAATTATATTAATTAAATTGCTCCATTTAACTGTTTTTATATTAAATTTGCATGTAGTGTAAATAATAATATTTTGGTTCTGACACACTCAACACTGAAGCTGCCTAGTTTCTTCTATTAAGTGTGGTATAATATACTACCAAACAATGAAGTTCATTAATGTTTCAATGCTTCCAAAATTAGTTCACAGATTCTTTTGATTTCAAGCAGATGGTTTGTACGATTCAATGGTTTGGTTTCCCCCCCCCCCCCAACTGGCTATACCTATGCATTATGGTATTAGTAGAAAATGACACCGATTGAATATTTATATATTTTTTAATTATTTAAATATAAATATTAAGTTTATTTAAAAATATGAGTTCATTATTATCTATAAATTATCTGTTTATTATTATTTATAAAGAGATTCAAATCTATAAAAAAAATTATAAGTTGTTTATTCGATTAAATCCGTCAAAAGTTAAGTGATCAATATACAAATCTCCTTAGAAGTAAATATATTCTCCATTTTATAATCCATATTCATATATCTAAATCCACGTAAGTAATGTAAATTTGATATTGAATTTTCGAGGATAACTATCCGTGTCTATTATGATTCTGTGAATCCACACCATATTTTTAACATTAAAATTAATAAATCATTTGAACTCATAACATTTGAATCTGTAAAAAATTAGATCATGTATTTCGAATTTGAATTGTCATCCCTAGCTATTCGATGTTTGAAGTCATTATAGTTAAATTTTTTATGCATATTTTTCTGAAATCGTTCATGTCCATTTTATGATTTATTTTTGAAGTTCGCGATTTCTCCTTTTAACAATATTATCTATTAGATTTCAACCTAAATTCTCTAATGGATAATTTAATATAGCTTATTATTGTATTATTTTTCAGTCACAATTTATATGTTATTGAACTTAAGGTTTTGTCTTCCCTGTTAATCAAAGAAAACCCTCAAACAAGATAAAGCAACTATACGTAAAGAGATAGTACTCGAGATTAAAATTGATGGAATCATAAATATTATGTGTAAGTGATTAATTAGGTATGGCATTTGGTTGTTTATGAAGGACAAGTCCACGTAAGAAGTTCGCAACAATGACAAAAGAGTATGGCATTAGTAGAAATATCAACACATTAATCCAAAATTTGTCCCAACCGAAGATGAATAGAAACAAGATTAACTGTACACTGACTAACTTCAATATAATAGGGTTTCCAAGAGATCACTTGTATTCACAGGGGAAGTATGGAGTTCGAAACCTATCGAAGGGTTGACAAAATTTTGTTGATGTCACCAAAAGTTACATGGTCCACTCAATAATAATTTACAATACACGAAATTTTAATTGGAATCTAAACTCAAATTAATTCAATTTAATAGGCATAACTGATCTAATCATATAATGTGAAGTTAATTTGATCAAATAGATTAAACTCTAAATTAAATTTTAATTTAGAAATAGAAATAGAACTTACCAAATTAATCGAATTGTGTCCCCTAATTTTGGAAGTTAGTTTTGGGGGGAATAAAGAAAGGGAAGGATGGGGTATCCCTGCACATGGGTCAAGGTCAGATATGGAGAATACAAAATCGTTGCTTTTAGGAGAGAGCTGGATTTCTTCTTTTTTTAGTGTTTGGGCAAACAAAAGCATCTTCAATCGACTCAACCACTTCTATATCACAGCCTCTTTTTCGACTTTTGCATGTGGTGGGTTTTTATTTAGTATATACTTTCAACTTTTGCATGCTTTCTGCCACTACAATTAATAAATTATATGTCAGAATTCGATCAAGTGATCTCGGTAGTAAAAAAATATTATTTTTTCAAAAATCAAGAATTCGAACAATTACATTTGCAGGTATGTATATGTTACCAATTGATTAAAAAAATCTGAACAGATATTATCTCGTAATCACCCTTAACTGTATATAAATAAATAAATTACATGTCGTTTAATCCACGTGGAACACCAAACCTTCTGAAACCATTGTTTTATGGCACAGTTTATCCATTTTGAGAATATGAAAATGAACTCTTCAGATTTTGACTTGTGAATTGTGATGTAATTACGCGAACTCTAAGCGGCTTATTGCACAAAGATCCATGTGGCGCTCGCGCTCATGGTTTAACGTCTATACTATTGAGCTCAGTCAAATTTTCAAAGTTAAAATCATTTTGGCCGTTATCTTCTTTGATGATCCAACAGTCAAGCTTGGTTTACCGATGGATTTGCAGAAAGCCACATGCAGCACACAATTGGGCAGAATATTAGTAATTTTTTATCGTCTTTCACTCACATTCTTTAAGTATGATTAGCATGCTATTAAACATCGGTTAATATTTTAGATTAACAAGAAAAACAGAATTTAAACAAACAGGGATCTGCTGGGAAATAATTTTGCTTAAGAGTTAAGACATTATTACCCTACTAATTAAGCATGCCTCTACAGAAGCTTTTCCTTTACCTGCTACTATTTACTTTATTTTTATATTCATTTCATGATTTTTATTTAAATTTTATAATTATTTTCTCCAAACAGTATATCTCTAAAACTTGAATTTAATTTATTATTATACATAATTCTTCAACTTTTATTTATCAAACTAATAAATTCAAAGAGTTATAATTATATTGTCTCTAACCCTACCGAACACATTAGAATGAGAAACAAACATAGAGTCGAATACTGGTTTCTTATGACCAATATATTTTTAAGTTAAGGGGTTGTTTGTTTGTCTCTGAATAGAACTATTTAGCGCTGAATGTTGAACCGTTCAGCATTCATGTTTGTTTCTCACCTCTGAATGAAGACTGTGCTGAATGATTCAGCACAAAAGTACATTCTGAATGATTCAGAGTCATTATCAAACAACATGTCACATTCAGAGCTAATTCATACAGAGCCTCTGAATCATTCATCATTTGAATCATTCGACGCTTAATCATTCTGAAGTAAACAAACAGCCCCTAAATGTTCCTTTTTGTTATTTATTTATTTTCACCTCCGTACTTGTTAATATTTTATTATTCAACATCACAGTTACAATATTTTACTTTAAAGTTTAATTATTAGTATTTAATCACTTAATTAATTAATTTAGATAAATTATTTATCAAAATAATTATAATTTTTTAACTTAATTTATTCTATTCACAACATCATAATCTAAACATCTAATATATATATATATATATATCAATTTAACGTCACCCTTTTGATAACTATAATTCTAAAGCAAGAATTTTTGTTTAAAGGTTACATGACATCTATCTCTACATACATATAAAATTATGAAGATTTTATTTGCATCACTAACTTTGTCCTTCCTTGACCACCATTATTATTATTATTTAAGGGAAGTAATAATAGTGTATATTTATAATTTTTGTAAAATTTAAAATTATAAGTTTATTTATTGTTTTTATTAAATCTGAATCTTATTATTTGAAGATAAAACCTAATTAATTATTTGAATTTGCATAATCTATGGTTGTTCAAAAGACATTTCGGACATTTTTATGCTTCACCAGCAGCAGACACAAAATTGTAATTAACCGAAACTTTATGGCCACTTTCATATGCTTCTTCTTATAAGTTCATCCACCCACCCAAATTCTTAAATCCCCCTCTAAAGTTCTAATATTTCTCCGACGCTCCAATAAGGAAGAGCAAAGTAAAGGATTCATTTTTCTTCTTAAGTCTAAAGAGTACCACCGGAAAAATGTCGACCGGACTTGGAAAAAGCAGCAAAATCCGTCACATTGTCAGGCTTCGACAAATGCTGCGGCGGTGGAGGAACAAGGCTCGCATGTCGGCCAGCCGGATCCCGCCCGATGTCCCGGCGGGATACGTGGCTGTCTGCGTGGGGACGAGTTGCAGGAGATTCGTCGTGCGCACGACATACCTGAACCATCCCATCTTTAAGAAACTCCTCATCCAAGCCGAGGAAGAGTACGGGTTCGCTAACCAAGGCCCATTGGCGATCCCCTGTGACGAGAACGATTTCGAAGAAGTAATCCGGGTTATTTCCCGGTCGGAGTCGGGTCATTCCGCCAAGTTCGTCAACATTGAGGACTTTAAATGCAGCTGCCACGTGGGGATGGGGAGTAAGCTTGATCTGTGGACCGAATCTCGACCGTTACTTCATGGGTTCGCTGAGAAAACAATTTGGTAAATAAAGAAACAGTAGAAAAAGAGAAGAATAAGAAGAAACTTTGATTCTTACCCGGGGCTTTTTACTCAGTTCCGAGTTGGCTCAAGTGAGTAAAATCATACACTTCTGAAACCATCGAGTTGACTAAGTTGCGGAAGTTTTTTCTAATTCACGTGTTATTACTTACCGTTGTAAAAAGGTAAGTCGGTTGATTTTTACTTTTTTATTATTTTTTCCTTTTTCAAAAATTGTAAACGGCTTTGAGTCCACGAGTGTTGAGCTCCGGTCATCGGGAGAATGCATGGAGATGGCGGAGAAGGTGGGTGAGTTATCCACCGAGTCGTCCCGGGTTCGAATCAGAGTGACGCAAAAGGAAGAGGTGCAGAACTTTTAGACACTTGAAGTGGTTGTTATTAATTAAAAAAACACTGTTGTAAATTCTGTGATTTACGGATTGAGGAAGGAAGAATTGTAGAGATATGAAATATATACATTGGATGAATCATATTTAACTATTTTCCATTATTCATTTAAGTTTTTTTATTTTCTTTTTAAGTAATAATGCAGTGGAGAATTACAAAAAACATAATGGTAGCCGTTTTGTGAGTTATAATGGTACCCACGTGAAACAGTCTCTTTCGCTTACACCCCACAATTCAAGGATTTATTTTTTATTTTTTTAAATAAATTTTAACATGCTAATAATATATAAATTTTAACATGGTGATGTAAATGGCTCATATACTGTTCTTTTATGTTATATTTGATTATTTTTTGTATTATTTTTTATAGTTTCATTTTAATTGAAGTTTATTATTTTTATCTGAGAGACAAATCCTTAAAATCGAAGATTAGAAAGAGCCTGTGGTAGTTTGCTAATTTTGTTTGATAGGATCGTATGAAATAAAATGATTAAAAATTATTTTAGGAACAAATGAATATATATATATATACGTTTAAATATATTTTTTATTTAAAATTTAATTTATATAAATAAAATATTTTAATAATTACAATATATATATATATATATATATTGCAAATAGCATTAACTAAATGATTCAACCCTCTTTGATTAAACAATTTATGTTAAATGATTTATTTTATTTTGAGAAACACCATTAATATTTTAATAATTTTATAATCAAAACAATCCATGTTTAATAAAAATAGTTAGTTGATAAATGGTCAATATATGTTATTGATATGATATTTTTATATGTGTTTAATTAGTGACGTGATATATATCACATCATCACTTTGAGCAATTTGAGATATATCATTTTATTATTTTGGATGATATAACACATGTAATCTCATCATTTTAGTAACTTGACATATGATATATCATCGATTAAACACATGTGAAAATATTATATAAGAAATATACATTGACCGATAATCAATTAACGATTCCCAACAAATTTTTTTATCAAAATATAAAACATTAAGAAATAATTTAAAAAATAAAAAGAAAATTGATCGTTTAAACAAACATGAAGAAATAATTTTACCATTATATTATTGTTTTACATTAACAGTTATTTTATTAAAATATAAAAGATAATTATGAAAAAAATTATGGGTAAAAGGATAAAGAAAGTAGAGGATTACATCAATGTATTCCTTAAGTATAGGGGCAAAATTATTATTTTAATATTTCTTACTTTTGTTTATTTATTAACCGAAACATAATAGACCTATAAAGCTATATGACAGTGGATTGCTATGAATAAAAAAAAAGGATGGAATGGAGATGCAACCAACGGTGCGGTGATATTAAGTAAAATCTTTTTCACTTGACCAACAGTTTGTCGGTGGTAATTTGGTTTGGTAAAATGTAAATATTTGTCACTTGTATAACAAAAGCAACAATGATTCCAACAACAAATACAAACTTATGATACATTTTCTTTTTATGTTAACTTATGTATTTTTCTAACACCGTTCATTTACTCAACTGTTCATTTAAGTTGAGTTATCAATAGGGTTTAGTGGCGAAATTTAAAAAAATCAAAAAAAGTAATTCAAATCAAATTAAATGATTTAATTTGGTTTGGTTTTGAATTTATTTAAACATTTATAATTCCATTCAGTTTTGTTTTTTCTATTAAACATGTTTATTTCAAGTTAAATCAAATTAAAAAATTAATAATTTAAATCAAATTCATTTTAAGTTTATTATAAGATAAATTTAAATAAATAAATTTCTAAAACTAATAATATTACTTTTATGAATTTAAACTTAAAAACTGCTAAAATTAAATCGAATCGAACTAAACTTAATCAAACCAAACCAAAAATTTGGTTTTTATATAATTCAATTTTGATTCTGAAATCATTTTTAGAAAATCGCATAGTGTTGTTTGGTTCATTTTTTATTTAAAAACTAAATCAAATTGAACTAAATATATCCCTAATTGTGAAAATTTAATCTACAAGATAAACCATGTGTTCTTTTTTACGCCAAATTGTTTTTAGTTCAAATGAATTCAATTTGTAAATTATCGATGACAACATGTTTATTTAGTTGGTCTGACGGTTTATTCTTTTTAATTTTGTCGAAGAGTTATGGTCAGTGAGAGGAAGACCGTTGATCGATGTCTGAATGAAAAAGAGAATGGATCATCATGGGAAGAATGAGATTTAAGAGACTTGGTCATGACTAATGATCGTTCATTCCCTCTTTTGTCTTGATTGAAGGTATTTATAGTGGTCATTAGTGCGTGTCAGTTGTAAGGTCATTATGATTATTTGTAGACTAACAAATTAGATGAATTCATTAGCCATACTTTAGATTTAGTTATGACATATCATGCAAGTTTATGAGAGGTCTTGTCTGTGCTATTAATTAGAAGCTTGTATTCATAGAGTGTAGATTAATTCGAGGCTTTGGTGAATGAGGAGGCCTGTCTAAAAAGTTTAGTCGGTGGAGAGCTAATGATTTCAATAAATCTGAATCTAACAGAGATTTAAAGTTTTCAGATATCATTATTCGAAGATATAACATATAAAGAAAAATATAATCCCAATACAACAATAAACTTAATGATAATACAAATCAAGAAAATATTATAAACATTTGACAACAAATGAAGCTGTACTGAACAAATATCTATAAAATCGAAATATATTATATGTTCTGATTCGTTAATGACGAATAAATCTATCTCGAAAACTTTTAAAAATAAAACAATAATTAAATTTATCAGATTAAACGTATGCTAAAGAGTTGGAATCGACTCGAGATACTGAGACATAGCATACTCGAGACAATGAGTCTCAAAGGACCCAATAAAAATGAGTCATTATTTTACTTAAACTAAATCATATAAATGTGCATATATATATAGGTTAATATCAGCTTACATAGCATAAAACTCTTTTAATTTTACATAGATTTAGAACCCTTAGATGATTAAAAGTAATGACTGAGATTTATGATCCATCTATTTTTTTTAACTCTTATAATGTGTGGGTATAATTCAAATTAATTTTAGGGTAAAGTATACAAATAGTTCCTACTATAGGATACTGCTTTGTTGAGTCCTTCAACTATTAAAAGTTACAAAATTATCACTGTCTATAGGACACTGTTTTATTGAGTCACTCGATTGTTAAAAGTTACAAAATGGTCATCTAACTATTCATATATTAAAAACTCATCATTTTCCATTAAAAAATTGATGAATGTATGAGCTAGACGTTACATTCTAACCGAGATGCAATAAATCATATTTTAATGATGTATATTGTCAATGTTGTTGCTTTCAAATACTAGCTCGACTACATAATGTTTCAAGCATTAGCTCGATGACATAATGTAAACGAAAAGTCGATTCACAAAAGACAACTCAAACGATTTTGAGATCATATTTTATCATATCCAATCAACATGTTAATGTCCAGCTTAAAATACTGTCAATTTTTAACGAAAAAGGACAAATTTAGAACATATGAATAGTCGAGTGACCATTTTGTACCTTTTAATAGTAAGGGGACTCAACAAAGCAACGCCTTATAACCGGGGGACTATTTGTGTAGTTTACCCATAATAATTGAATATAATAAATAATATCAAATATTATTTAAGAGAGGAACATATTTTGAACCATAAACTAAAGGATTATCAATGTCAATTAATTATAAAAACGATAAGACTAAATATTTCTACTATCATTTTTTATTTAACAATAACTTGCACCTTAAAAAATATCACAACCCATATTATTTTACAAACATATTAATAGTATTGGGTATATTATTTGTATTTAAAGTTTACAAGCTATCATTGGGTAGATAGATTGATATTATTTTGGCTACGGATTCATAATTTGCTGGTAGGGGACAACTTCAAAGTTCATTCATGAAACCATTGCAAATAATGGCCGAAGGCAATGATGAACCTTTGACTTGATAATAAACTTGTAATTTATTGGGTACCCAAGATTTAGATTAAAGCAAATAAAAAAGCATGCAGCATTGGATATTGATTGGAATTAATCAGTATAAGCTGGCCATTGTTTTTATATAAATCACTGGCTCAGGCTGTTTACATACCATTTTTAAACACAACCAGGGTTGGACCGAAAGAGTGGGTGGGTATTCATCCTCCTATAAATTTTAAATTAGTATATATTTTAGATTTTTCTTTATATTTTCAATTCATAATATATTTTCGTCATATAGAATTTTATAAGTTCGTCGTCTCCTACAATTTTAAAAGTTTATCCCCTGATGTAATATAGTTGAACACAACTATGTCAAGCTGACTGCATGTTCACGTTCACATTACTTGACCTTAACTTCCCCGACGTTGCATAAAATCTTGCTCCATAGCAACCCACAGCATATAAAAAAAAGACGATCTTTGGTGAAAATGATAAGGTTGGAACTTTAAAAATATGTGAAGAAATTGACTTTTGTAATGGGAAAAGCTAATAGATGGAAAATGGGTGTGGTAATCCCAATAATTGAAAAAGGGGTGGTTGGAAGGAATCTTAGGATTAGGGCAGGAAGTGGAAGAACCAGAGATAGTGGAGCATTATCACTTTCGACTGAATTTCCAAAGGTGGTGTCTTCTCACGATCCCGACCGAGTTTGCCTTTTGATTTGTTCAGTCAATTTCGGTTGTTAAGGACGGTTTGATTCCAGTCACTGATTTTATAACTCAATCCTCATCAAATAAAAGCAAAGGCTACAAACCTATGATTCTCCATCTTAATCATTTCTTTTCTTTCTTCTTCCTTTTTCATTTTTTTTCCTTTACTATTTTCTTTTTGTTGTCAAGCTAGAATGTATATAATCAAACTACAAAATCTAATTTCATTGATTAAATTTGAATCTGATGTAATTTATTCTATTATAAAAAATAAATGACTCAAAACTATTTAATATGTATTTGAAAATAATTTAAATATAAAATGATCATAACTTAAAATGATATAAACTTAAAATAAAAAATGACTTGAACCCAAATGATTAGGGGTACTAATAAACGCATTCAATTAAT